GTGATATTGTATTTTGCAACTGTTGCAAAATACAATATCACAAATTTTTTCTCTTCACCATAAACAACAGGTTTTAAGGACAAACTCTTAAATTAAATTGTTTAATCTTGAAAGAAAACTGTCACAAGTATAAAAAGTTTTAAAGTAAAAAGGAATTGCAGGTGACTGTTGTTGGATGCATTCATTTTAAGTGACTAATAATTATTTAAATAAAAAGGAAGTGATGTGAATAAGGTTGCAGGAGAAGAGGGGAAAATTTGTGAATGGGTGTTTTGAACAGTAATTTCACTTTGCTCTGTACAATGACAATAAAGGCTTATCTTATCTTAAAACTGTATATTTGTAAAGTTTCTGTTACCTTCTGTTCAATAAAAATTAATAAAACATCATACATTTAACTTATTAAAACAACAACAACATTTCATCACTGGATTTCATTAAGACGTTTTTTAAAGTTTAAAACAATAATATTGGTAACAAAACTAAACGATTTTGTTAGAATGTCATCTTTAACACGTTTAAACATGCTGTGGAGAACAGTTTCACTCAGGTGTTTACATACCATAGTTTGGTTTGGTAACCTAACGAGCCGCTCGTCAAACCCCGCTTCGTTTTCGCTACCACATAGGAGCGCAAATCTTTGCAAACAAAAGTTACCATGGTCTCTGTCTTTTCGTTCTGCTGGTAACGTTAGTGATTCCTTAGTTTCTTTTGTTTTGATACAAATTGTTATCGAAAGCTAATGTTAGCACTGAACGTCAATCGGATGTAAATGTATGGCAAGCCAGGAGTGACATATAGAAACGCGCCTCAGACACGCGTAAAAGACGCCATGGGGAAGAATCGATCTTAAGTCCTGTGAATCAATTTCCCCAAATTTAAGTGAAATCAATCCAAGATCGATAAAATCATTTTTTTAACCCAGCCCTACCTGGACTTGGAAATTGTGCAAATTAATATATGATAAACTGAAGCTGTATTGTAATTAATGGATGCATTGACAGATTTAGTCGTCACGTAGCTAATTTGGATGAAACAGTGACCCAAGTCATCACGGACTAACTTTATAAACACAGACACATGGCTGTACACAGCAGGTGTGAGGAAAATGAGGAACCGGAAATATACTTTTCATGATTGACTTTTTTCCCTCGTAATATTGCAACTTTAGTCTCGTAATATTATGACTTTATTCTAGTAATGTTACGACTTTAATCTCGTAATAGGACGACTTTATTTTCGTAAAATTATGACTTAAATCTTGTAATATTCTGACTTTAATCTCGTAATATGACATTTTTCTCGTAATATTACAATTTTAATCTGGTAATATTATGACTTTATTCTCATAAAATTACGACTTTAATATCGTAATAATAACAAAATAATCTCATGTGGCCCTAATTAATACTTCATCGTACAGAAGCACTGTTTCAWGTAGAAAAATATTTAAAATTATATAAAAACAAATGTACTTTGAATCTAACTTGTGTTAGTGAATTA